CCCGCTGCTCTCTGCCACCTGCCAGCGCTCTAGGCCACGCCCACTTCTCCACTGCAGATCGGAGATCTTGACACGCTGCTCTCCTGCAGCTGTGGGCTGCACAAAGGTGCCGCAGGGGTTAAAGAAATTTTAAATAATTTATTTTAAATAAAAAATGTATGCCAATCTCTTGGCTCATCCATCAATCAGCCAATTGTGTGTCACGTCCAATTTTACTTTGAAAAACCGCGATGGAGCAAGTCTGCGAAAAATGAACCACGAAGTAGCGAGGGACTACTATATATACATATGATCCTATTTTCCTGTTTGCACTGCATGTTACTTATCAGCATACTCTAATCACGACGTCACTGATTTCTAACATATTCACCTACAAATGCATCACCATTACACCCGAATCTGCTCGAACACACCAGACATGGTCCTTTAGCACTATAAAATCAGTGAAGAGGATTAAAAAACCGATCCCGCTTCATAACCACGGAGGCAAATCATACACATCTACAGCTGTACTCCTGCCATCTGTGTAAACTTACGTGCTTTCTGTGTTCTTAGTAGGTTAAAACAACTTTGAAATACTTGTAACCCTAAATAAAACGACTTTCCATTTATCCACAAGTCATTCTGTTAAAAGAAAGGAAAAAAACAATGTTTTGCCTGATGACACAGTTGTTTCTGCACCAACAGCGTGTTTCCGAACTAAATATTCTCCAGGTTTACATCCGGAAATGACAATCAGTTTGCATTTACTACACAAATAAGTACAGGGGACTGGCAGAGTCTCACTAGTTGTGAAATACAGGTTGTGTAACTTTCTTTTTTAAGTAACCCTGTCAGATTTTCCAGAACAGCCAGAAGGTCAAAATAAGAGTTTGTATTTACTCAAGCATTAAATATCCACCTCGTGTATGCATGTGATTGTATGTTCTTGTCCCGCTCTCTGTCTTCCTGTCAATAAGTGTGTGTGTGTTTGTCTATGACTGTGTCACACCGCCCGCTTGCTTGTCAGGTCATGAATATTTCAGCAACGGTAATAATAAACTTGAACCAAGTTGCAAAACCTTTGGAAAGCTCGTGGGCCTCCAGTGTCACAGAAGAAAGGTCAAGATTTGGGAGAGCAGAACGTCTCGGCCTCTCGTTGGCAGCACAGTTAGCTACTGAAAAGGGTGATGAATGTGATGTGAAAAATAAAAACGACAGAGAAAACTGACATATACTGATGATTTTTTTTTTTTAAATGACCATTTCTGGGCTACACTGAGTGGGCTGCTTGATATAAAGAAGGTCAAAAAATAAATGCTTATCGTGCCCAGACTGCCTCACACTTTGATAAAGGAATGACGGTGTATTGGAGGGCAGTGCCAAATATTGAGTTTTGATAGAATGTATGCTGTTTGACTGAACGTTGTGTTTCCTGTAATCATCCACAATGCTGTCAATAAACTCTGTTCCTTTAAGTTGCTCTGGAGAAGCAGTGTGTGGATCATGCCTGAGCAGTATTTTTAATCTATAATGCACTTAACTCTTGCCCTCCTTTTAACGTGAGCACGCCAACAACTGCTATTTGTTACTGTTTTTATGATTGTTTAACACAGTCCATGGCTTCCTATGTACTGTATGGGTTTCTTTCCATTTGTTATTTTCTTATCTTTTATTTTTTTTTTAGACATATAAAATACCAGTGACAGTTATAGCCTATTTTACGTTTTCATAGACAATGTCACTTGTTCGATGAGTGAACACGTGTCAGTAAGAGCCATCTACTGTTTTGATCATGAATAAGTTTTGTCTTTTTTTTTTTATTAAAACAAAAATAATGCCAAAAAAAAATTACCAAAATATAAAAAAAATCCCAACAGCTTTGCTTCGGTTCTTAAAGAATATTTGTTTGTTTTAGCTTAAGTGAACACAGACGGCCATTCCTATTTGCACATGAAGTAATGAAAGATGTATTTATACCTTATTGATAATTTAATAGGGATGTCAAAACTGACCACCGAAGCCTAGAATTTATAAATGGTATTTAATAGCATTGATGACTTATTAGCCTTTACAACATGTAGTTAGCAATCTAGATTTGTTTGTGAAGAGATATTTGTGGATCCTTATTTTATATTTGTGTAATGTACAACATATTAGTGTATATGTCATGTGTACTTTTATTGTTATTTTTGTCATTCACGGTTATTGCTTGCACTCTTTGCAATAAGAATTTGGGTAAAAAAATGCACTTGTTTTGATTGAAAATATTTGTCTGCTTTTTCAAAATCTACAGTACTTGATTGTATTGATAACACATCAATAAAAAATAAAATAAAAACCTTCTTGAATGTTGGCTCCAGGCTTCAATTTGTGTATGTGTGACAAAACAGTTTATATGATGTTTTAAATACTTGTAATTCCCACTATTATTATTTTTATTATCATTATTATTATTAACAAACTGTTGCATATTTAATGTGGTTTAAATTGTTGCAGTTCTAAAATTTGCCGCTAGAGGGAGACAATCCTTAAAAAAACAGTTTGAAAGATCCATGTCTGCATTTAAACCTCACTAACATTTAGGAAGACTATACATTTTAGGACGATGTGTCTTCAACGGAGTAAAAATCACAGGTAATAGGGCCCAAGATGAAATATAAACTGGTAAATTGATATATAAGTTGATCAGCTGCGGTGTTGAACTGTGGACCACAACATAATCTTTTATAAGCGCATCTAAAGCTGTCTGTAAGTTGATCGGATAAAAATGGAGGTGAAAAGCCACCCATGGGCAAAGGGATGATTTGTTGTTCCAAGTTTCTGGAACTGTCGTCACCATGATGAGCCGTCATCGGTCACCCGGATTCTTCCTACGCACAACTGACGCCAAACCTTCCATGGTGCGTTTGAGTAACCCCGGTAAAAAGAGGAGATTTGCCAATGTGCGTCTCAAAAACAACTACAGTTACATAGTATTATTTTTTAAACTATAATTTTACTTTACATTACTTTCGTAATTCAGCCACTCTGACTCGAATAACGTTTTCCGACTTTACCCAATTAAAATAATGGGATAAAAAAATAATCACATCCATATTCAGTTATTTAACTCTTTTTCAGTACACAAAATACCACACTATTTGGAAAGAATACATAATAAAAACACTGACGCTAAACTACATAGGCCGTGCAAAATTGGGATTCACTAATCATTAGTTTACAACGGTCACTGAACGCCTCAACAACTCCAGGACCTATCTTTAGAAGACCGTTGTAACATATAATCAAAGTACACAAAGAGCGTCATAAATAACAAAATTCTATCTCTATTACGTACTTCTTTAGACATCAACAGTAGTTATCCATTCATCCATCCATCTTCTATCCATTATCCATGGTTGGGGTCCACAACATCTCTCTCTCTACTAGACTTCAGCTCCTCCTGGAGGATCACAAGGTGTTCCCAGCCCATGGAGTATACATAATCATTCACTGAGTTCTGGTTCTCCCCCCGGCCTCCTCCCTGTGGGACGTGCCCAGCACTATGTCCGAATCACCTCAACTAATTTGTTTCATGCAAAAGAGCAGCAACTCTACACGGAGCTCCCCCTGGTAGACGGCGCTCCTCACCCTGAGCCCAGCCATTCTACAAAGAAAGTTCATTTCAGGTGCTTGTATCCAGGATCTTGTTCTTTCTTTCATGATCCGTACCTTATGACCATAGGTGAGGGAGGGTTGGAACATAGACATATGGGGAGCTTCATCAGTCAACACAGGTTTACCGTTTGACGCAAGCCCCTCATGAGGACAAGGCCCTGACCTGTGGATCCATCCTACCATCACTCGTTAACAAGACACCAGATACTTGACCATGTGACTCAAGGGCATCCTTAGAACTGAAAAAAGTTAAATAATTCTTGCGCTATTTTGAGACATCCAAAACTAAGACTATATAAGGAACAACTTATTTTAAGATGTCTATTTTTTTTTTTACCATTTAACATCTAGTGGCTGGATTAAAAAAGCGTTGCAGGTATGCACAGCTCCAAGTTATGTCACTGCAAAATATTACGGAAGAGCTTTCATCTAATCCACAATTAAGAAGTCAAATATATCAAGCACTGTTATCTTAGTAACAGTACACTATATAGTATATATATTTACATTTAGCTCGTGTACACTCTTCTAATCTAGAATAAACACAGCGGTTGTATGTAATTTAAGAATAGAATCAAATGTATGTTTCTTTCCGTTGCTCCTGTCTTCAGGGGTCAACCACATTGAGCAAGCTCGCATGAAGGATTTGGTCATTTGTTTTACGTCGGATGCCCTTCCTGACGCAGCCTGTGCTCGAACCCGCAACCTCAGGTTTGCAAGACCACGGCACTGATCACCGAGCTACCACAGCCTCAAATGCTCAATGGTAAATGGACTACTTATATAGGGTTTTTCTATCTTATCAAGATCAAAGCTCTTTACAACACAACCTGTGCCCTCATTTACCCATTCATGCAGCCCTACTAGATCTCTACAAAGAGTTATCAGTGCTTTTTCACATTCACACACCGATGGGACACACATCGGAGGTAATGAGGGGTTCGGTGTTTTGCCCAGGGACACTTCGGCATGTGACTGTTGGTAGAATCGAACCCCCAACTCTTGCATTGGAAGACGACTGCTCTAACCATCAATAAACCAACAATCAGGTCTCTTGTAAAATGAGTCCCAGAGGCTCAATGGGATTAACCTGTATAAAGGTTGAATGAATGCATGAGAAACCACTCAGCATGCATAAGGTGTTTATAATGTTTAGATGTTGAACTCTCAGACTAAAAGCCACAACTGCGTAAATATAAAAAAGTCACGTCATGTGTGCTTGTGAGAATGACGTTTGACACCTGAAATGTTGATTTTTTTTTGTATTGTCTGCTTCAAATGAGCTGACCTTTGATTATATGATAAATCCACCTGCCATACAGGGAGGCTCCTCCCCGCCAACAGAGGCCGACCTCCAACGACAATTCAAGATGCCACATTGAAGAGGAACAAAAAGGCGATCTGACAGCGCTGTCTGCACTTCCTCCACTTTCTCCGGGGTAGTCACGGGATTTCAATGTTCAGCCTGCTCTTTGTAAGTAGTTGAAACGCAAACTGACTTTGTGTTTGGAGTCTGACGGCTTACATTTGCGGCTTACTGCGCTTTGAAACCAGAACTTGGCTCGTGAAATGTTCTCTCGAAGTTCCACGATGACGGGGTTTGTCTGAGAAGGCGAGCCAGACGATGTAGCCTAGCTTGCAAGAATCACGCTTGGACGATAAAACTGTTTTAAGTCGGCGGTAGTAACCACGAATAATGATTGTTCTCGATGTTATTCGGTCGGTGTTACCTATTCCAAAGCTGGTAACTCTATTTTTGTCGACAGTCGTGTCTGGGTTTGGCTAATGAGCTTTGCTAAACCAAAGTGCTGACCTACTAGCTAACGTAGCGGCGCTAGCTTCGACTCGTGTCTACTTCCTTACGGAGCACGAACAACCGTTAAGTTCTTGTAAAAAACACAAAGTGCTTGGGGTACTGTTGAGCTCTTTGACACTGTCAAAGTCAAATGAGACACTTGTCTGTAGCAAAACGTAGCTTTTCTTATACGACGTCCCTTTAACCAGTGCGTGGGTTTTATTAGCGTCTTTAGCATCATCGGCACCGCCATGTGGAAGTCTTAAGATTATTAGTTTTTGTGGTAGTCACTATTTACATCTTGTGAGGACTTTAGTCTAGATAGTTGTAAATATTAGTAGTCCTTGTCTTGGCTGTCCCCCCACCCCAAGTAAAGACTTGAATCCAGATGGCTGCTTGTCTTCCGCCCCTTGTGACAAATATTGACCCACGTCCAGGCCAACATTTTATTTAACTAAAATAAAACAACCCCTGTTTTTGTTTTTAAATGTAATCAATACTCGTTTTTATAACATTTTAATGTACTGTCAACAGTCTGGTTTTAGGCTTATAATTGGTCTCACTTTCATGTTTTAGTGTTGATAACCTAGCAGTTTGCTGGGTCTGTAATTTATCATTTATTTATCTTTACGGAAAGAACCCCACCTTTTTATATCCATGCAGGCTGGAAGTGAAATGAGGAAATACATCCAGGGAGGAAGTTTGACTTGAACAGCTGGGACACTAAAGGCTGCCACATTCTCATGCCTCTTCGATTTATGACTTACAATAATTTTGGATTCTATACTGGTAGTGAATTGGGTGGTTCATACAACCATAACCCTTATTAACATCCCTGCCAATATGGCTGAGTCAGTAAGTACAACACGGAAGCTGATTATACGTCCCTGCTTATGAGTCTCTGCAAGGTTTTACCTATGCTATAAATTTCATGAAAGGTCTAACATCTTAAGTACTTCAGCTTAAATGCATGGCTTCTGTGAAACCTGTGGTGGCATTAATTACAAAGAGGACCTTTTCATTATTAAGATATATTCAAATTCTCAATATCAAAAGCTTCAATGTAGTTTAAGGAAATTTTGGGATTTATTACCTTGCCCGTCAACAAGCTAGTTTTGTTTACAAGGGTGTAGGTTTGAAAACGTTGTTGTTGGGGGTTTTTTGGGGTCTGGAGTGATGTAATTGAAGAATTCCAGCTGCATGTGTAAGAAGGGAAACCCCCTCACTTCATGATAATGACAAACATTATATGAAGGGATTTATCAGTGTTCTGGCAGTCGCCAGAAGAAAAAAGGTCGATTTCAAAGGAAATTAAAATGACTAGAATTAAAAAGATGTATTTCTGAACTGTTTGAAAACCTCAATTTAAATACATAATAATAAAGTGCTATATGTTGTCATCATTGTATGTTCCCATGCAAAGATGAAATTGGCTCTCTGCATTTAACCCATCGCACCTGGGAAACACCCAGGTGGAGCAGTGGGCAGTTATGTAAGCGCCCGGGGAGCAATTCGGGATTGGGTGTCCTACTCGGGGACACCACGAGATGTGCAATGACTGGGGATCGAGCCCAGGACCTTCAGGTCCTGAGAGTCGGCTGCCCTGTCCCTACACCATCTCAGCCCCAACTTAGCTTGGGAAGATTACATAAATAGCTACCGTGGTTTCTAGGCGTTTCTTCAGCACTCATTTTTATGCAGATCTCAACAATGGCAAAATCAATATTTTCACATTTATTTCAGTACGGTCTGTGTTTATTTAACTCATTTTGCTAGCACCGGTCACATCTTGTATAATGCTCACAGGTCATTCCTATTTCAAAGCAGCTAGCAGGGTGGGTGAAGTTCACACGCCATTTTAAGCAATGCATCATCCCCTTCTTACATCCAGCTGCCAAACGGGCTAATTACACAGTGACCACAATTTATTGACTAATGTAAACAAAATACAATTGGGACAATGCTACACTTTCCCTGTGCTCTCATCCCCATTTATATGCCTTCCTTGGACATAGGAGTGTCACGATAACAAATGTTGCTGGGCGATTAATTGTCTCAGAAATAATTGCGATAAATGATAATACTGTTACAAATTTGACATTAGTAATTATTGTCAAATTTAAGAAGAAAAGTAGGTTAATTTCTGTGTTGTACCCTTTTTGACCACTAGATTGCGGTATAAGACTGTTTAAACCAAAGGATTCGTGATAGTGAGCGAGCAGCAGCGTGTCTCTTTAAGAAAAATAGGAGGGAGGCCCCTTGTGATGGGCTGTCTCTCGTAGTTTTTCAGTTTTCGAAATGGTTTGAGCTCTTTAGCATTTGTCACACGAAGCTTTTTAATAAAATAAAAAAAAATCAGTAAACAAGTTCTCAGCTTCTTTTTGCAGAGAAAAACAACTTTTTACACGAAGGCACGGATTTCAACCGTGAATGTTGGAGCGTCGACAAGACGGAGGTTTTTCCCTAGGTCGGCCTGTTAGCTTAGCTCGTAGCATAGGTTCGTAACTTGGCTGCTTTTAATGATCTAAAAACGTGATTTTGGACGGTTAAAATGGATTTTAAATGGAAAAGAAAAAGGGAGAGGTCAGTGAAGCATGAGGGAAGAGGCGCCTTGATCTTTTTAGCGAGAGTGCCTGTATTTCGCTTAGTGCTATGTCAGTGGGGGTTGGGTGGGGGCAAGTTTGGTTTGGTAGGCGGGGTGGGGCACCCCGCTTGTATAATGGTAGGGGAAACACTGTATTTTACTTGAAACGTTCTTCTCAGGACATTAGCTAGCCTAACTTGTCAAACAGGTGTCTCTTTAGCTTAAAATTTCTTGACCCAGTTACATTTCAGCCCCACTGATTGTGTACAACAGCTTACAATAAAGACAAGGAAATCAGTCTTGTTAAGACTGATTGCATTAGTTACATACAAATTGAAATGGCTCTGCCATGCTAAGAATACTTTTGTCTGTGAGGAGATAATTATAGTTGGCCTAAATGAAGCAGGCTGGTTGCATTTTGTTGCAGCAATACAAGGGCTGTTTACTGCTTGTGTAAAAATACACTGACAGAGGGGAAGTTCTCAGCCTTGGTTACCGTAACTGTGAAAGGCGAACCCCATGTGCTGTAACGTGATGCCAACTTATCAAGGAGGGTTACTGGAGGAGAAGAACACCTATGTTGTTGTGTTCTGGCGTTCAGCCCTTCTAGCCACAGGGTTCCTGCGAGTGCTGAAAGGTGGTTTGCAGAGGCCTGTTTTGAAATGACTTGCCCATTTAAAATCACAATATTACCCTGTGAGGCTGGTTGTGGTACAAGTGGAATACAAGTTTTGGTTTTCTATTGAGTTAGCTTCTTTAAAGTTTGCAAAGCAAAAATCCATGAATAGATGCTCACTGTTTTGCGTAATCTTTAAGCCATTAAGCAAAAGGTCTCGTATCCGTACAATGATAGCCAGGGGCACTCGCTGTGTTCTTGCACATTGTGTTGGTTAATGAATCATGCCGTGGTCGGCACGGTTTTTGTTTCCATTTGTTGCTACAGCGTTCAGAGAAAGCAAAAGGTACAGGCTTCGTGGCACCAGCAGTGTCTGACAGACTTGACACTTTTTTGTAGATGCTGCCTGCTGAAACTATAGCAACAGGTCGGATTAGGGCCTTGCTGTGTTTACACTCGTCTATCCACTACTGGTCCTGTAGTAATTATTAGGGTAACAGTGAGTACTTTTCCAAAATGTGCAGCGGAAAGGTTTAATTATGTTGGTCTTTAACGGCCTGCTTTTTGCTTGAAGTGTTCTAGGTAGTCGAGAAAGGCCTGTGTTGTCATCTATAATTAAGTTTACTGTTTTTTATAGCTCAATCTATAATTACAGTAAGTTTGCTGTTTTTTTTTATCTTTTTTATATATATATACATTATTTGCTGCTGTTTTCCTTATTTAGGCTGCTTAACATTTGCAAAGAGTGATGTCTTCTCTCTGAACTCAAACTTTTCTTTGTATAATCTTTATTTATTTATTTTTTTTGTACATAGGAGTTATTATTGAGCATCATCTTATTTCTTCTGCTAAAGCAGCTGGTGGCATGGGCTTACAAGGTCTTTTTAATGTGCAATTATTGGTATAAATCCTTGCTGCGTTTTCAAAGCTGCACTTTTTTGTTTTGAAGAGAGCAACATTGTGTTTTTCTGAGCTCTTCACATGGGATATCAAAATTCCCTGCAGAAGCACTTGTTGCTACCACAGAGATAATTGTTGATATAGCAACAGACATCTCCTGATGCTGCTGTCAGAAGGCAAAGTTTGTTTCCAAATGTCAAAAGAATTGATGTGGTGGGACTGAGCCTCCACGTAAATATGCACACACACGTTTCCTTGTCTTTGTTTTTCTGCTGCTGAGCCTTGACATTTTGTTGCAAAACGTATTTGGACTGGCACATTTACTTTTTGTATAATTTCAAAGTAAATTTGTCTGCTACAATTTATTTTACTATATCTATAATGTGTTAGACAAATCCACAATTCATACAGATTAAAAAGTTACAAATTTTCTGTCTGAACAACAAACTAGTTAGCTCAGTTAATGGTTTGTGCGGATGCCTGGATGCAACAATTTGGACTTTGAACACTGATTGTGGATGTACAAACCAATCTGTTCGTGCTACAATGTTGGCACAAGTCAATCTGTAACATCTGCTC